TGCACAATTGTTCATTCATGTGCTACTTCTCTCCCAACATTGAGTGACACATTGCCAGTTGGGGGATGGTTGGGGGGCTGGGGGCACCCCGAAGCCCAAAGCGAGTCACCAAGTTTGCTGTGGACAAGCGAGGTCTATGATCCCAAATCTTCCATTGTTCGCCGCCTGGAAGCAAGAAAAATGCATCTCCAGCAGTGAAATCGATTCCCTTTCATTTAAAGCCAACAGGGGGAAACATAACAAACAAGGAAGCTGAGGCGAGCGGCGCTTTTCCAACTCTTCGGAGGCGTGGATGGATTCCAGCATCTTGCTGAACCTCGCTGTGCCTCGGGCAGTGGTTGAAGAAAGAAAATAAACATGGTGAGCCGCAGTCAAAACTAGGTCCTCCAGTAGAGAGGTTAGAATAAGGGTGCTCTTTTTCTGTAGTCTATTTTAGTCTGTGAACCCTCCCCCAAGAAGGGTAAAAGGGCACTACTGGGGGACCTAGACAACCTTGTAACACATGGGAACATGAGGGAGTTCTGACATCACATGCCCCTCAATGACAAGATTTGTTGATCAAGATTTGTTGATCACAGATATGGGTCTCTCTGATTGGCCTGTCCCAAAGCCCTGCATGTCGAACCCGGACTCATCAACCTGCTGGCTTGCCCAAAAGTGACTCGGATCCCCGATAAAAATACTGCTCCACTGTAAATCTTGTAGGTGTCAATGCCCGGTTGCCATTGGGGTTCCTTCTGCGCTCCTTTAAACATCCCCCACCAACAGGACCCTCATCTTCACATGGGCCAACAGGTGTTTAAACCAGAAGGTAAATGTAACGCTCGCTGGAAAGAAGGAAAGAGAAACAAAAGGCACCAGTGCCCCTACAGGTCTGGGCCTATCCGGATCCCCCCCCCCCCTCCCCCCCTCCGTTTCCACTGACCCCCTGACGAGTTCGCCGAAATGCGACGCTCCAGGTCGGCAGAGCTCGATTGCCACCGCTGCTGCCGATCCTAAGCGAAAAAGCGAGGGTTGCTTCACATGACCTTGACACAATTTCAGTGAATTAAGCTCGGGGAGAAAAGTTGTCTTGGCTCCCAAAGCTCCAAAACATCAAATCAGCAAACTGGTTCCACCACGAGGGGGGGGTCGATTTATCAGTCCCAAGATGTAAGTTGCGAGGCCTGCCCCCTCAAATCTCCAGAGCAAGCTCGATCTCCAATAAATACATATCGGCATATGTCAGGATAGGGGGACCCCGCAAAATGCAGATTTCCTTTTGACCCCCTACCCTGTAAACAACCTGAAAACGAGTGAGCCGCCTCCCAAATCGTCATACTGAATTCAGGAACTTCTCTCGGAAGTTCCTCTTCTCTCGGAAGTTCCTCTTCTCTCTGAAGTTCCTCTTCTCTCGGAAGTTCCTTCGGGCCCAATCTGAGGGAAGTGAAAAAAAAGCCACATGTTCAACTAGGTCCTCCGCTAGAGAGGTTAGAATAAGGGTACCAACCTTTTTCTGGACGTCTATTTTAGTAGGCAACTCCCCGCAAAAAAGGGGAGAGAAGGGCACTACTGGGGGACCTAGTCTAGCTGTGGGGCTGTAATTGAGCTATGCCCAAACACCACAGAACTGATTGCTACCGGATTGAAATTCTGGTCTCACAAACCAGCCAAGTTCTGCTTGCATCCGGGGCCGACCTTCTTGCCCAGATTAACAATTGACTCCTCGGTTGCTTTCTGCTCCCCTGCTAAAAGTTTAACTTGTAGTGGTGTAATACGGAAAAACCATTCGTTGGCCAAAAATTAAAGTCCTAACATCCCTTGACAAAATCTAGGTCCTCCAGTAGAGAGGTTCGAACAAGGGTACCCTTTTTTCTGTAGTCTGTTTTAGTAGGGGAACCCTCCCGCCAAAAACGGGTGAGAAGGGCACTACTGGAGGACCTAGAAATGCATCCGCACCAAAGTGACCTTTCCAGGAATCTGAGGCATCTCTGGTGAACGGAAAGCTGACCCGAAAAGGGCTGCCCGTTTTCTCCAAAAAGGAAGGCCCAGGTTCTTCACATGGCTTGCTGGCTCCAGGTGTTCCATGGAAAGTTGGTTTCAGATTAAAATGCCGGAGTCCTCAGATGCCCAGTGGCATGGGGAACAAAAGAACCAGCATCCTTTTTTTCGGGGGTTGGTTGAGTTGAAAGGGAACTCTTCCAAAACAAGCTCAGGTGAGATCCCCAACTTGGCATGCGTATTTTAGTGCTCACCCCGTAGCCCTCGCAGAACCTCGTGGAACCTTCTCCAAAAAAAGGAAAAGCGGGCACCACTGGGCCACTGGGGGGGAGAAAGCCCCAACATCCTTTCCGGTGCCTCATGCATCTCCCGCAGCTCCTTCACTGCCTCCCGGTGCCAGTTCCGCTCCTGGCGTTTGGGTACGTGCGTACCTTCCATTTGGTGAAGACCCCTGGAAAAATGAAATATTTCCATGAGTGACCAATTCCTTTTAAAACAAGGGACAATCAAAAATATCCTTAAGCAAATGGAAGGTATGTGTCGAAAGGACGAGAGATTGAACATGGAGCCATCTCCCTTTAAGCCATCGCCTCCAAGGGCACCCTGCAAACACAGCCCCACATGCAATCGCTGGGGCAGGAAGGCGTTGGATCGTTCTTCAAAGGGCCTCCCGTCCCCTTGGTTTTCTGGATGAAAATGGGACAAACTGGAACTGATCAAAGGTCCGCTGTTTCACGTTACGGAGCGTGGTCGCTATGAGAGGAGGTTCTCGAAACATATCAAGAGTTGTCCAAGCCTCATTCCCACAAGCTTGCTTTTAGGGAGGATCCACACACATATACATATACGCATATAGACACATATATATATATATACACGTATGTAAATACTTCACCCACATGAAGTGGGGTTTTAGGCACTTCATCATGTGAGCATTGTTTTTTTTAGAGGTTCAGGGCTTATACACTGCTGGGGAGGCTACGCGAGGGGCTTCGCGGGGCCAGAATTTGTGGAAGGGTTGGCTTCGCGAGGCTTCGCGGCAAGACTGTGGCTTCGCGGAGTGGCTTCGCCGGGCTTCGCGGATGTTTGTTCCACAAACATCTCTCACATTTGCGCCCCCATGTTGTTGAATCAAGTTGAGTCCATGCGAAAGGGTTCGATGAAAGGCGGCAAGAGAGGCATTGAGCTTCAGGACTAGGGGACATGGCTGGGCCTCAAAGGGGCGGAGCATGGAAGTTGGACCGCGGAGGCTTCGCGGGGGCTTCGCGGGGGCTTCGCAGAGGCTTCGCGAAAACGTTCCATCGTTTCTAGAAAAACCGAGCCTGAAACGCACAGTGCTCTTCCGGTCGTCTTCCCGTAATCTTCCTGTAATCTTGTCGTAGCCTGCTGACTCTAAACATCAACCTTTGGAATACTACTGCCATGAAAGCGCACCACACACTTGCCATGAAAGCACGCAATACGCTCAAACGACGAAGTGGCTTCGCGAAGTGGCTTCGCCTGTGTCAATGTTACCGGGCTACGCGAAGTGGCTTCGCGGGGCTTCGCGGTACACAATGTATCGCACAAGTGCCTTCGCGGAGCTTTTTGGAGTTCCCCACGAAGCTAAAATCCATCATCTGAGAAAAAAACGCTGCTCATGTGGCCCGAGCTCATTTTTTCTCAAAAGCGAGCTCGCCAGAATTGGCAGAAGCAGCTCCTTGTGCACATAGGTTGCCTTTTGGCAAAATAGATGACCCTGGTAAATGGAACAAACCCCATCTAAACCAGTGGAACCCATCTCCTATGGTTGGGCACGCATGTGTGTGTGGGTGTGTGTGCGTGCGTGCGTGGGTGCGTGTGTGCGGGTGCGGGCGCGGGCGTGCGGGCGTGCGGGCGTGCGGGCGTGCGGGCGTGCGGGCGTGCGGGCGTGCGGGCGTGCGGGCGTGCGGGCGTGCGGCGTGCGGGCGTGCGGGCGTGCGGGGCGTGCGCGTGCGGGCGTGCGGGCGTGCGGGCGTGCGGGCGTGCGGGACGCCCGCGGGCGTGCGGCGTGCGGCGTGCGGGCGGCGGGCGTGGCGTGCGGGCGTGCGGCGTGCGGGCGGGCGTGCGGGCGAGCGGGCGTGCGCGGTCGGCAGTGGGGCGTGCGGGCGTGCGGGCGTGCGGGCGTGCGGGCGTGCGGGCGTGCGGGCGTGCGCGCGTGCGCGCGTGCGCGCGTGCGGGCGTGCTTGGATCGGCTGTGTGCTTAATAGTGACTTGCCATGGTTACTGCCTGTGCTAAATATTTTGTAAAAGTCAAGTAAAGCCTTAGTAACAAGTTGTAAGTGCTTATAAACAGCGTAAAGTGCTGATTGAGTTAATGCTCTTACATAAAAAATAGCTAACATGTGTAAGTGTACTAGTTAAAGTAGCTAGTTTATAAGTAGTTAGCTACAGGATTAGCTAACTTTTGACTTTTGCTTAGCACACTTCTTAATGGGCTAGTAAGGTAATAGTAAGGTATGATTTGTTCTTGCCTTCAATAGTGCCGCAAAGGGCCAAAGCAACCTCAAATGTTGTTTGTACCGGTCTGGGATTCCTTTAGCATATGATTTGCGCACCTCTTTGAGGCATGCAGCTTTGGCAGTTTGCTGCCTCATTTTGTTTGATAGTAAGCCCATTGGGCTATGGTTTTGTTATCAGCCTGCACAGGCTCGCAGTTAACAGGGCATCGCTGAGCTTGTATTTTGGAATTGCCATGCTGCAATGCTCCTTGCGTGTGGCACCATTATCAGCCCCTTGGGCTTCTGATGTTTCTTTTCAGCCTTCACAGGCTCAGCCTTCTTGTCTAGAAGCCATGAGCTGCTGCGGCTTTCAGCCTGCGCAGGCTTGTGTTGCATGCATGCTTTCAGTGCTTCATGGAGTTGTGCAACTATAGAGGAGCAGCAAGAAGCCTGCCCAGCACATGCGCAGCACAAGGAACATGCAGAGTTTCATGACCAGCAAGCGAAGCATGACATTACAAGGCAGCCGTCACCAAGCTGCTAGTGCTGCAGCCCCATGCCATGGATGATGCTTTGAAAGCAGAGATTAATGCAGTGAAATGTGATGAAGGGCTTCAGATCAACAGAAAGTGTCAGGTCATTTTGAGCAAGCTGCAAGCTGCAGGCTTGCTGTGGGAGCAGAAGGTGAAGCCTGTGCAGTTGCTGGTGCATCCCAGCAACCGATCTGGGGCCATGCTCAACAGCTTTGACATGCATGCCAAAGGAGCCATGGTTTTGACCATGGGGTGCTTGGTGGACCAGCTGAGTGACTCCTTGGCTTTTGAAATGGCAAAGGAGCCAGGCCAGAAGCAGACGCAACTGCAGGCAAACCTGGAGCTGGTAAGCGCGTCAGAGAACAAAATTGCCCCAGTGCTCTCCACAGAAAGATATTTGACAGTGGCTTGCTCCCATGTGGGCATGTTTATGAAAACAGTGGCAGCAGGCACTTGCAGCACAGAGCACGAAGAACTTGCCAGAGTGAACAATGGCCTGCTGACCTTGGACAGTTTGCTTTCAAAGTATGCAGACCCGGTCTTAGAAGCTTTGATCAAGGAAGGCTGGACATGGAAGGTGATCAGCGCAGAAGTGGAAGAACACCTTGAGTGGCTCCCCGGGTTCTTGCAAGGCAGCTTGAACACTTCTCAACAGGTGGCAAGCACGCCCAGGAGCAAGCAATGAGCTTGGCTTTCTGGTACAGCAGGAGCAAGGACTTGGATGTTGCCATTGCCCAGACCGCAGCCTGCATGCCACTCAGGGCTCACTATGTGCCCATGATTGCTCAATGGGTAGCAAAGTATGGTGGAGGTGAGGAGTTCCCTTTGGTGAAGCTTGCAGAGTCCATCAGTGACTGGTTTGCATTAACTTAATACCAAGGCTGGTTTGCTGTGAGCTGTGTAAGGCAGACAGGCTGGAGGTGCGCTACAGCTGGGGGAGGAATTTCTCAGCCATCTTGACTTCAGAAGCAGCTCAACAACTTACCCAATGCTGAGGACAGCCCTCATTGCCACACAGCTTACTTCGCCCAAAGCTGTCCAGAGAGATGGCTACGGTAGGCTGTTGAGCAAAACAGATGTGGACAAGCTCAAAGGCCAGGCTTTCGGCAGCATGGTCAGTAAGGCAGAGTTGCTGTTGGTGAATGCTTGGAACTTGGCATCCAAGACACCATGCTTGGCATGGGACAAGAAGTGCTTGGCCTTGGGAAGGTTTATGTGCAGATTGGTCCTGTTCATGCTGAACAAGCAGGCCAAAGGCAGGGAGAAGAAGTCCTATGACAGCCTGGAGCAAATCAACACTCTGTTTTCAGAGGACTGGTCTGCCATGGTGAAGGATGGCAAGATTGCTCCTGCTGCGCTTGCAGCCAGTGGTGCTGCATCTTCTGGCAGTAAACCCCCTGTCCCTTTGCAGAACACAGCAGACCCTAAGTTCATTGCGATGTCTGCCAACCCTCACTTGGAAGTTGGCAAATGCTACACCAATGCAAAGTATCCTGGCCAAATTTTCAAATTCACTGAGATGCAGGCTTCTTTTGCCAAGATGACGCACGCCCCTCTGTTTGGCAGCCCTGTGACAGTGGATGTGCAGCATGATGAGCTAAAGACTTGGAAAGTCTGCTACTCGAAAGAGCCTGCCCTGATTGACGGCAGCATTTTGACGAAGATGCAGCCAGCGAATTCAGAGCAGCTCCAGGTAGACAAAGCCAAGGCAGTGCTGCAAACTGCCATCTATGACTTGTACTTGGAGCAACCTGCCTTAGAAAGACATGCTAGTGGCAAGTGTTTTTAGGAATTGTTACATGTTGCTTTGTGAGGGTTGCTTTACCGTGCCTGCAAGCCATCCCAGGAGTCATGAGCCTGAAGTCTTGATGTCAAGCAGCAACTAGATCTTTGCCAGCAGTAGTGTCAAGAGAGGTGGACTGAAGTTGTTACCCTTGGGGACAGTGGTGGAAGCAAAGCCTGACAAAAATGCAAAGAATGTTGTGGTGCTGACTTACCCTGGCCTGGAAACTAAGTTTCAGATTGCGCCTTGCAAAGTGGATTTCAGAAAGGAAGCTGGGCTATTTGTGCCATTCAACTTCATCAAGCACGCACCTGAAGGCGAAGCTGGCAACATGGAACTGACCAGCATGAAAAAGGACGGCATTATAATTCCACTGTATAGGAACAAGAGGCCCCTTGACAGAGGGGATGAGCTGCTTTTGGACTCAGCGTCCAGAATGCTAGACAGCGCTTGTGGGAAGAAGGCAAAGAAGTCTTCAGCATGAAGCTGCAGCATATAACGGTGTGTCTGAATAAAGGGGCGCAAGCTGTGCCTGCAAGCTTTCTTGGAAGCATTGCATGGGCTTGCAAGGAGTTGCGTTGTGTGCACCCAGTCTTGGTCACATGTTGGAAGCTCGTTAGTTTTGGCAGGCTGCTATAGGCTCAGCCTTTGGCAGGCTGTTTGGCTTAGCCTGCGGCAGGCTGATTCCTTAGCCTTTTCAGGCTGCTCAGGTTCAGGGCTCAGCCTTTGGCAGGCTGTTTGGCTCAGCCTTGCGGCAGGCTGATTCAGGTTCAGGGCTCAGCCTTTGGCAGGCTGTTTGGCTTAGCCTGCGGCAGGCTGATTCCTTAGCCTATTCAGGCTGCTCAGGGTCAGGGCTCAGCCTTTGGCAGGCTGTTTGGCTTAGCCTGCGGCAGGCTGATTCCTTAGCCTATTCAGGCTGCTCAGGGTCAGGGCTCAGCCTTTGGCAGGCTGTTTGGCTTAGCCTTTTCAGGCTCACCAGGTTCAGGGCTCGGCTCAGGCTTTGGCAGGCTAGTTGGCATTGCTTGTGACAAGTGGGTTCCTTAGCCTTTTCAGGCTTATCAGGCTTATGCACCTTGGGCGCATGATGCCTGAGACGCCCCAGCTGTCTGCTGCAGCATCTGCGC